CAAGTATTTTATTTTTTGGTAGCTATTGTAAATGGTATTGATTTCCTTATTTCTTTTTCAGCAATCTCTTTGCTGGTGTAGAGTAATCCAACTGATTTTTGGATAGTGATCTTCTATCCTGCCACAATGCTAAATCTCCCAATTAATTCTAGTAGATTTTTGACTGAGTCTCTTGGGTTTTCTAGGTATAGGATCATATCATAAGCAAATAGGGATAGTTTGACTTCTTCCTTACCAATTTAGATACCTTTGGTTTCCTTTCTTGCCATATTGCCCTGGCTAAGAGTTCCAATACACTGTTGAATAGAAGTGGTGATAGAGGGCATCCTTGTCTAGTTCCTGTTCACAAGGAGAATGATTTCAGTCATCTATTTGTCTTTTCAATTCTGTTAAAGTCTGATTTTTATATTTTGGGGCTTCCTCATTGTGTCCATAGATATTTTTTATGGTTATATCTTCTTGTTTAATTGATCCTTTGATCTTTATATAATATCTTTCCTTGTGGTTTTTGTCTTAAAGTCAATTTGATCAGAAATTAGTATTGCCACTCCTGCTCTTTTACAGTTGCCATTTGCTTGATATATCTTTTTACAACCTTTGATTTTTAGTCTATTTTTTTTATTTGCCTCTAATGTGTGTCTTGTAGAAGCATATTGATGGGCTATGTTTTCTTATCCAGTCTGCAACTCTCCCTCTCTTGAGGCATGCATTTAATCAATTGACATTCAACGTAATTATCAACAAATACGTATTGGTTGCTGTAATTTTATCCTGTTTTTTTTTTTTTTTTTTTTATGGTGTTCCTGGTTTCTTTGTTCCATATAATTTTCTGTTCTCAGCTCATTAATTTTATGAATCATGTTATCATTTCCTTTGTTCATATTATTTTAGTGTTTGGTAAATATTTGTTCTTGTCCTCTTTTTTATTGTGATGGGAAGCTTTATAATTTTTCTTTGAGGTTACCCTTTGATTAGTAATTTTCTCTCTGAGTTTGGAACAGTCCATTCTAAATTGCAACTCTCTCAACTTTCTCATCATTTAAAAGTTCTGTAACTACACAATTTTCCCCATCTTTTTGATTTATACTTGTCCTTATTTGTCAATTGATGTCTCTGGTTACCTGTTTTCAATCTTGTAAACTTATTTGACTTTGGATACTTCCATAGCTGTTTTGGTTTCTGGGTTATGTCATTTTGTGTATTAATGGTTGGTTGTTGTTTACTATTATTGGTTCAAAGGACTGCCTTTAATATCTATTGTAAGGTTGCTCTGGTTTTAACAGATTCCCTTAATTTCTGCTTATCTGGAAATCTAATTTCCCTATCACATTTGAGGGACAATTTGGCCAGGTATATAGTTTTTGGTTGGAAATTTTTCTCTTTCAGGATACATACCATCCTATTGCCCTCTCATTTGCATGGTTTCTATTAAGAAATATGAGCTTATTCTGATTGGCTTTCCTTTGTAAATAACTTTTCTTTTTTCCCATGCTGCTTTCAGGATCCTTTCTTTATCTTTGGTTTTGGGGAGTTTGATGATGATATGTCTCAGTGATTTTCTTTTGAGATCTATTCCCCTTTGAGTTTGTTGGGCTTTCTGAATGGATATATTCTTATCTTTCATCATATCAGGGAAGTTCTCTCCCAACAAATCTTGGACAATTTTCTCAGTGGTTTTCTTTTTCTCTTCCTGTTCTGGAATTCCAATGACATGCAAGTTATTCCTTTTGATGGTATCCCACATTAACCTTAGGCTTTCTTCAGTTTATTTTGATCTTTTTTTCTCATTGATCCCTTTCTAAAGAAGTATTCAGGTATTTGTCTTCATTCTCATTAATTCTGTCTTCCATTGATTTGATTCTACTCTTTTGTCCTTTTAATGTATTATGTATTTCTGAAAATTTAGTATTAATCTTCTGAATTTCTATTTGTAGAATTTGTATCATTTGTAATGTTTCATTTATTTTGTCATGTTATTCTGATACTTTCTTCTGAAATTTTTCTAATGTTTTGTTTGTGTTTTCCTTAATTTTGGCAGTGTTTTCTTTGATCTGTCTCTTAATCCTTTGAAGATAACTAAATATTATTCTTTTGAAGTCCTTCTCAAGGAGTTCTAATGCCACTTTTTCTTCTGTGATGTGTTCTGGGTTTTTATGCTGCTCCCTTGTTTTTAGCTCTTTATCTTGCTTCTTTGTGTGGACTCTGATGATATGTTGTCTCCCAGACATCATGACATTGTTGTATTTAGATCTCTGCTGACTGTGAAACAGTTGAGTTAGGCTCTTCTTGGTTGTCATGAATCATTGGCCAGTTGGTGGAGAAGGAAGGAGTGCTTCTCATTCAGTAAGTGGACCTACAGGAGTTGTGGATGTGATTGTGTCATATGGGCACAGTTGCTGTCTCCCTCAGTTAGTCAAAAGCAACAATTCAAAAACCATCAAAAAAGTAAAAGCAAGTGGACAAAAATCATACTGTATAAAAACACAGGAACAATCACACACACAAAAAAAAAAAAAAAGGAAAGAAAAGAAAAGAAAAAAAGCTGCAGTATGAGGGGAGAGGACAATAAGAGTGAAGAGGTATAGTAGGAGAATAATGAAGAAAAATGGAAAAATGCAAAAAGAATAACAAGGAATGGGGTTCACTGTGAGAAAGAAAAAAAAATGGGAACCAGGAACAGAGAAGATAGAAAAACCTGAAAACTAGAATCTGGAAAGGGAAGAATAAAGGATAGTAATAAAAAGTACAAAATAATAATCATAATTTTAAAACAGAAAAAAAAAAAAAAAACAGACAAACTGAACAAAAAGGAAAAATAAAAAATCTACGTGAGTTGCGGTAGGACACCCAGGCTCCTGCGGAGCAGAAAGACTTGGATGCAATTCCTGCTGTCCCAGAAGGTGGGTGGGAGTGAGGGATGGCAGCACCTCTATTCACCAAGAGGGTATGGGGTATGAGAGTAACAAGGGGGATATTGTACCTTTCCAATGTTCATATCCAGAATGTCTTTGTGGTCCTGAGAAGTGAAGCATATTCTTACGCCCTGGAATCTGAGAGAACACTATTGCTTTAAATATCCAAAATGGTTGAACTGGTTATAAATATTCAAAATGGCAATACTTCAGCTGTCCACTCAGTTAGGACCACTAACAGACTCCATATATCTCCTTTTTTGGTTTTCATGCAGGTTATTCTACTAGTTGGTATTTAGTCCACTTCTATATCCTTCATTTCCAAGCTGAGGGTTCCAGGATCATCTTCTGTATCTGTGTTAATTAGTTCCTCTTTTCTTTGTTGAAGAGGGTCTGTGTAGTTTGTCTGCCTACTCTGCCATCTTATAGGAACCCAAATCTTTTCAGTTTTTAAGTTCATAGTAATTTCTCCATACTAGCTCTTAGCATGATACTAATACACAAGCCTACACACACAAACAAAACAATCAAATAAAAGCAAAGCAAAACAACTTCAAAAAAGTAAATTAAACCAATGAAACGATCTAGTCATCTATCCATCTAAAGGTGGATTTTTGGACATTTACCTGTGTTCAATCAAGTGATCTCCTTTGGCATATTGTTATCTAGCCTTTTTGAGTCTGTTCCTTAATCTGGAAAATATGGATAATATATTACCAAGGCCAAAAGATACTTATAAGCACTAGACAATAAAACATGGTAATGTGTTAGTGTGGTGCTGTGATACACATTCAATACATGCTGGTTATGGTTGATAATAACAGAAACAACAGAATTCCCAACCTGAACTAGCTAAATTCCATGAGATAATTTGTTAATCCTTGTTGCTAATATGTCAGCACCTGGACAAAACAAACAGGAAATACCTCATTGGTGCAGAGATTCTGCACAGTTCAGCATGCTCAGTATGCTTGACCCTCACTTTTCAATTTGTCTTTTACAGGAATAACACTGTATAGTCATCCATATGGAGGAGCTTTGCTGAATGAGGACAAGATGTGAGTTGCAGGGATTATGAGGGAGGGTGGGCAATTTCATTAAAAATGACTTGACTGTGGAATGCATTGAGTTACTTAGAGATAATTCTTATCTCTCTTTTACTTTTTTGCTTATCTTAAGAGGTTTTGTTATATATAATTAGTGACACAGGACTCTGGCTTTTTTTTTTGTTTTTGAGGGGGGTATGTGAGGGAAATTATTATTGAAAGAGGAAGCACCTGGCTGATTGAATTTAAAATGACATAACATACAACTGTATTTTTAAGTAGAAATTGTTCTAAGGGGATGCGTTTCTTCAAAATTTTGGGATCCAACCAATATCTTCCAGAACATTATTTTGGGTTGAAATTGTAAACATGGTATGGGTGAACATAGTAATACCACTTTGGGCAATTCTTCATCTAAGATTTTCCTCACTGTCCAGTGATCATCATGTAAATGATGAAGCTGGTGCTCTTTATGGGAAAGATCAAGTGTCAGCTACATTTTCATGATAAGGGGACAGGGATCCTGCCTTGTCTTCTTCTTCTTCATTTTTTTTTTTTTTTTTTAACCTTCTCTCTTCTCCACCATGTGGTTGACAGACTTTTAGTTAACAAGTGAGGATAAAATATACTATTATTTATAAACTTTATAAATCTAGTTGCCAAACCAGGGTGATCCCATTTTTCTCAGAGTAGAACTGTGTTCTGTAGGGTTTTCAGTGACTAAGTTTTCAGAAATACTTTACAAGGCCTTTCTTCCAAGGTGCCTTATAGTAGATGCAAAATTCTAATCTTTTGGTCAGTGTTCAAAGACAGTTACCCTTTTCACCACCCAGGAATTCCATATACTTCATATCATCTGCCAAATTGAATTGGAAAATACATGTCTTCTCATATGGGCTTTGTCATCGTAAGTTTGTCCTCATGTTCATATACTGATTACCAGATCCTGCCATTAACAACCTCTGATACATGCCCAGAATTCTAGGTGGAGAATAACTAATGTCTGTTATAAAACAAGAAGGTAGGGCATAGTGGATTGCGTTTGCTGTAAAGTTTCATCATGTCCCCCAACTACAACCTGATTATTCCCAAAGGATTAGCTCAGAGGAAGGTACTAACTGACTTGAGAGTAGAATGTTAATAGTGCTCCAAGTAAAAAAACAATGACACAGAAAATATGCAATGTACATGATTACAGAAACAACTTGATTTAGTACAAAATTCTTTTTGGTATTTTGAGTGACTAAATTGAGAAATAGAATAATGATGATGGGTGAAGCTGTAGCAAATTATTTCTCTGTAGCAGTATTGTTGTAGAGCAAGGTGGTCATATATAGGTAAAATTGCAGCTTTCTTTGGATACCACCCTGGGAATTTCTTTCTATTGTAATTGGGAGTCTAGTTTGTGGATCAAGAATAGACATTGAGACAAGCCTCTGAAAGTTCCTTCAGATTTCTGATCCTTAATTATGTCTGGAAATAATAGTATTTGTTCAGAGGAGATTTTTGAGAGGATACATGCCTTACCTGGTCAGCCATACATTCCTGATGAATGGGTTTTATCACTGTTATTGCTGTTGCTGATTATTGATACAGATAAATCTTTGTCTATCATCTGACAAGCCATTTTGTCAATCTACAGCCTGGAGAGCATCCGTCAGTGTGGTGTTGCCCTCTGCATCGTGTTGGGCTTCTCCATCTTGACTGCATCGATTGGAAGCTCTGTGGTGAAAGAGAGGGTAACTGGAGCCAAAAGGTTGCAGCACATCAGTGGCCTTAGCTACAGGATGTACTGGTTCACTAACTTCCTATATGACATGGTAGGATTTTGGAATGAGATCTGAACCTGTATGCCTGCACTTGGAGAACTGTATAATGCTGTGGGCAAGGAAGGCAATGGGTGCTCTGACCACCTCAGAGTAACCCACAAGAGAAAAAAAAAATCTTTTGAAGCAATTCTGACTCTTAGTGACTGACTATATAGCACAGAGTAGAACTGCCCCACAGAGTTCCAAGAGCTGTAATCTTTACAGCAGCTGATCACCACATCTTTCTTCCACAGAGGGACTGGTAGGTACAAACCAATCACCTTTCAGTGAGCAGCGAAGAGCTTATAGTAAGCACATTTCAAGTTACATCCTTTTCTCATCTCCACCAGCCATTTTTCTCACAAGAAGAAAGATTGACAAACTACAGGGAGATATCTTGAAAATGAGGGCCTTGCTCCAAACTTCCATTTCTTATTAAGATGTTAAGAAAGTAATCACCTTTAACGTGCTCTTGCTGAAAGGTGGAAGGTTAGATGATAAAAGTAATTGGAAATTATATTTCATCTGCATGCATAAAATGAAAATTGAGACTTTTGCCATATTTATAAATTTGTGTATAAAGTATTAGTGTTTTCCTTTATGCATTCATTTTCCCAGTGGAAACTCAACAGATTATTTTCTTTAGTCCTTAAAAGGATAGTAACAGGTGTATTATTGTGCTACTTCCTATAGTCCAAGCCACTAATCTTGAATAAAATAGTACATATGGTAGAGTTCACTTATCAGTGATCAGTATCTACTCTCAGTGTTAATTACAGCTGTGGTTTCAATGGAAAATCTGTATTTTTGTCCTTATTAGCATGTTTCATACCAAGTTCTAGCAGAAAGGAGAAAGGGGGTAGCATTTATGGAGGACCTACCCTGGGCATGTGTTATGCTTGCTGCTTTACCTTCTGCTTTTGGAGTAACATCTCTCTGGAATATTAACACATTGGTCTCATATATTGTTTTTTTTTTGAAATAGCTTAGAACTTAACTGATTTATTTCCTTTTGAACATATAACCTGTATTTTGTTTCCAAAATTAAATTTAAAAGGATCATATCTAAATTTCCTCAATATTTTAGGATATCATTATTTTAATTAGGTTTTTTCCCAAAAAAACTTACATGGTCATAGTAATTTCCTGGGCACTTACTAACAATAAGAACTTTCCAGGGACTAGTTGTCAAGATTCTGATTAAATAGATCTGAGTGGGACTTGGAAACAGACCTTTTAGTAATCATTCAAGGCAATTTATGAATCTCAGGAAGGACTTACAAATGCTGGGATTTGGGAAAGATGATTGCATAAACAAACTATAGTTCCAATCCTTCCCTATAAATATAACAATACAACAACAGTGGTCAACTTTAATGGACTCTGAATCAGGGAGTAGAGGAAAGCACCAGGAAATTGCAGACAGGCAATAATCAGTGAATCAACATATGGTAGGAACTTCCATAGTGATACTGCCTTGGAAAGCCAAGGAGGGGTCGCTACGAGTTGGAACTGACTTGACGGCAGTGGGTTTGATTTGGTTTGGTTATCACTTATCCCACTGACACTTCCTCTCCCCCAGCCATGTAGCCTGCCTTCTCCTGTGAACTCAGGAAGTGATGTTACAAAAGGGCCTGCCTTTGTAACCATCACACCCTCTTCCTGCTAGGAGATAGGACCCCAAGCTTCTGCTCTAGAATCAAGGAGGCAGACCTCCTGGAAGGTCAGATGAAGTGTACCAACATCTCCTCTACCCAGACACTGTTGCTACAAACCTACTGGGCAAACCTACTGCAGATGACTTCTGCGGTGGAGTCTGCCTTCTTTCACAGTCCACACTCTACCTGCTTCCCTGCTCATCTTATGGCTCAGGCTTCTGAAGCTTATAGGATATACCTATCAGAGAGTCAATTCCATTCTGTCTGGCTCATCTTCAGTTAGTGCTGAGGACTGCTGACTTAGGCTGCTGTGTGGTAGAAGTCAGGCATCTTGACTACACTAACAGTCAACATACTAGGGGAAGAGCTCTTACAGCAACAAGGCTGATCTCTCTTGGGGTCCATTCAGAATGTTACAACCCTTTATTCACCCAGTAAATGTTGAATACTGGGTTGATACAAACTCTTACAGAGTTTTCTACAATGGAGACAGGAGAGTCACTTAAGCAGAGACTACTCTCCCAACAATCATGGGGCCTCTGGAGCTCTGAAACCACTATGACAGATCTCTCAGAGATCCTTATGGGGAGTGTGAATCCCTCCACCACCCGAAACAGATGGAAGTCTGTCTGGATTTACAGTGAATGCCAGCTCTGAAAAAAAGCAGATGCCACAGAACAGGAGAAGGAACCACAGTCAAAACCAGATAGCACTACCCAGCTCTGAAGGAGGCTTACTAGGAGTGTTTTTTTTTTTTTTTCAACAGAAAACATGGCTTCAGAAACTGAGTAGAGAAGGAAGTAGTAACCAGAGAGAGGGTACTGTGCTTTGGGGGAAAGATTTATTAAAATATATCTAGCCTGAGTGGCAGTGCCTGCTCATGGAGAGAGTGACTATAGTGTGTTCTCTGGTGTCTGTGAGAGACATAATTTTGGTTGAAAACCAAAATCTGTAACATTTGAATCCTATTAAGCTAGAGAAGGAGAAGGGGCTATCACAGAGAGTGAAAGGAAATGGTAAGCAAAGGCCAAAGCTTCTGCCTGCCTCAGAGTTTTTTTTTAAAAAAAGTAGTTTGGGCAGGAGCTGAAAAAATTAACAACTTCAAAAAGTCCAATGACCTAAAAAATAATCATAAGACACAAAAAGAACAAAGAAACAGTGTCCCATCCAAATGAACATAATTAAGGGATTGAAAGATAAGTAGAGAAGACCAGATAATAAGAAAATAAAAAAGGGAAAAATACTCTTTATGACAAAAATCCATTAGAAGAGATGAAATGGACATTATATGTGCTAAGTGAGTTAATTAATTCATAAGATTAACTTTCATAAATATATGTTCATCCAACCTCAGAGAACTTAAGTATACAAGGCAAACACTGATAGAACTGAAGGGAGAAATAGACAGCACTACAATAATATTTGGAGACTTCAATACAACACTTTCAGCGTTGGGAAAAACATCTGGAAAGAAAATCGACAAGAATATTGAAAACGTAAATGACACTATAAAATGACTAGATTTAGCAGACATAAATAGAACACTTCACCCAACAAAACCACACTATATATTCTACCCCAGTGCACGTGAATCACTCTACAAGGATAGATCACATATTAGGCCACAAGGAAAATCTTGATAAATTTTAAGAGATTGAAATCTCACAAAATATTTTCTCTGACCGAAATGGAATGAAGCTAAAAATCAATAACAGAAAAATTTTAAAAAAGAACTTGGTAAATCCACAAATATATGGATATTAAACAGCATACAAACTACCAGTCAAGGAAGAAATGAAAAGAGAAATCATGTTTTTTAGAGTCAAATGAAAATTAAATTATAACATACCAAAACAAGGGATGCAGTGAAAACTGTATTTAGAGGAAAATTTATAACAATAAATGACTTCATGAAAATAGAAGAGAAATCTCAAATCAACAGTCTAATTTGATAAATCTTGGAACTAAAATGTGGAATGTAAACTAAGCTTAACTTAGCAGAAGAAAGAAAATAACAAAGATCAGTGCTGAAATATATCAACCCAAAATAGAAAAATAATAGAATCAGTAAAACCAGAGGTTTGTTCTTCAAAGAGATCAATAAAATTGGCAAACATTTAGCTAGACTGACAAAGAGAAAAAGAGAAAAGATGTAAATAACTAAAATAAGAAATGAAAGAGGGCATATTATAACTGACTTCATAGAAAAAAAAATTATGGTAGAATATTGTGAACAACAGTATGGAAAAAAGCTGAATAACTGATATGAAGTAGACCAATTCTTAGATGTACACAGCTACCCAAATGAACCCAAGAGGAAATATAATGTCTCAAGAGACCAATAACAAATGAAGAGATTGCATCAGTGATTAAAATATTTCCCAACAACAACAACAAAAAGTCTTGGACCAGATGTCCTCCCTGGGGAATTGTACCAAAATTCAGAGAATTGTCACCAATACTTTTTTTTTTTAATTTTATTGTACTTTGGTTGAGTGTTTACATAGTATATTAATTTTCCGTTCAATAATTTATGCACATTTTGTTTCATGATATCGCTTGCAATCCACTCAAAGTAATAGTACTCTTCCTTCTTCCTCTCTGGGTTTCCTGTTGCCATTAATCCTTCTTTCCTACCCCTTTCTGCCTTCTGAGCTTTATTTTTGGGCAAATACAACTCTTTTGCTCTTGTATGATTGATTGTATTGAGGAATACTTTCCTCCCTGATATTACTGTTAATGTAGTGCCTGAGGCACTTGACTGCTAACTAGAAGGCTGGCAGTTCAAACCCACCAGCCACTCCTCAGAAGGAAGGTTGGGCAATCTACTTCTGTAGTGATACCACCTTGGAAACCCAAGGAGCAGTTGCTATGAGTCGGGTCTGACTTGATGACACATAACAACAACAATAACATAAAGTCCTATCAATTGTTTGTCTGAAAGTTCATCCTTGGAAGTGGGTTAAGTACCAGGATTGAAAGGTATGTATGGGCCATAGTCTCAGGGGTCCCACTAGTTTGTAACAGAACAGTAAGTCTGGTCTTTTTTATAATTTTAAATTTTGTTGTACTTTTCTTTTTTTTTTTTTTTTCTTCTCCGTCTCTGTCCTGGATTTTCTATTGTGATCTTGATCAGAGTAGTCAGTAGTGGTAGCTGGGCACCATCTAGTTCTTCTGGTCTCCAGGTAGTGAAGACCATGATTCATGTGGTCAATTAGTCCTATGGACTAGCTGTTTCCTTGAGTCTTTGATTTTCTTCACAATTCTTTGCTTCAGACAAGGAGAGACCAATAGTTGCACCTTAGATGGCAGCTATCAAGTTTTTAAGACCCAGATGCTACTCACCAAAGTAGG